TCTAATAAACAACTCGGATTCGGTCTGGAGAGGAGGAATTTTAGCATGAGTGACTCCATTTTGGTTTGGTGTGTAGAGGCCTAATACAGAGGCTTAGTGCAAAACAGTGGCTTCCTATACATTTTATTAACATGTCCTTCCTGAAAATATACTAAATCTATTGCTGTTTCATAGCTTCATATGATTTTGATGGAATTTGACTGTGAAACTAAGATATCAGCATCTCACTGACATGTTTTCAAAAAGCTAATAGAAAGGATTTTGAATTTTTACAACACAAAGAAATGATTGATATACCAGTTACCCTGATTCGAACATTACATGTTATGTACACATACTGAAATATCATTGTGTTTCATAAATATATACAATTATTGGCCAGGTGCAGTGGCTCACGCCTATAAGCCCAGCACTTTGGGAGGCCGAGGTGGGAGGATCATTTGAGGTCAGGAGTTTGAGATCAGCCTTGCCAACATGGTGAAACCCCATCTCTACTAAAAATACAAAAAATAGCCGGGTGTGGTGGCAGGCACCTGTAGTCGTTCCCACTTGGGAGTTTGAGGCAGAATTGCTTGAACCTGGGAGGCGGAAATTGCAATGAGCAAAGATCATGCCACTGCATTCCAGCCTGGGCAACAAGGTGAGACTGTCTCAAAAAAAAAAAAAAAAAAAAAAAGATAACACAATGAAACCCCGTCTCTACTGAAAATACCAAAAATTAGCCAGGCATGGTAGCATGCACCTGTAGTCCCAACTATTTGGAAGGCCGAGGCGGGAGAATCACTTGAACCCAGGAGGTGGAGGTTGCAGTCAGCCGAGATTGCACCACTGCACTCCAGCCTGGGTGACAGATCAAGACTCCATCTCAAAAAAAGAAAAAAGTAAAAATACAATTATTTTGTGTCAACTACAAATAAAAGTTTCAAAAAATTTTTAAAAAGACTTTCACTGCTGGGTGTGGTGGCTCACGCCTATAACCCCAAGCACTTTGGGAGGCTGAGGTGGTGGATCATGAGGTCAGGAGTTCAAGACCAGCCTGACCACTATGGTGAAACCCTGTCTCTACTAAAAATACAAAAATTAGCTGGGTGTGGTGGTGTGCATTGGTAACTCCAGCTGGTTGGGAGGTTGAGGCGGAAGAATTGCTTGAACCTGAGAGGCGGAGGTTACAGTGAGCTGAGATTGTACCACTATACTCCAGCCTAGGCAACAGAGCGAGACACCATCTCAAGAAGGAAAGAAAAAAGGCCAGGCACAGTAGCTCACAGTTGTAATCCCAACACTTTGGGAGGCTGAGGCAGGCGGATCACGAGGTCAAGAGATCAAGACCAGCCTGGCCAACATGGTGAAACTCTGTCTCCACTTAAAATATAAAAATTAGCTGGGCGTGGTGGTGCCTGCCTGTAGTCTCAGCTATTCGGGAGGCTGAGACAGAAGAATTGCTTGAACCCGGGAGGTGAAGGTTGCAGTGAGCCAAGATCGTGCCACTGCACTCCAGCCTGGCAACAGACAGAGCAAGACTCTGTCTCAAAAAAAAAAAAAGACTTTCACTGATGTGCTCCTATCAAGTATTACCTTTAAGAATGAAACAGTTGGTAACCTCCTTCAAAAGAACGTGCCAATTTTTAACACCTTTTAATTTTTATTTGCTTATGAAAAGTTTTTCAAATGTGAAGATTGTTTTTAAAAAGAAAAGTTATATCTGAGCTGCTGGCCCCATTGTAGATTTGGTTATGAAAATAATTTAATTGCAGAGTTTGAAAACCAGGATTACTGCTATCCTAGTGGTATTGAAAATTGGAAAATTGGTCTATCTGATTGTTATTTGTTGTGTATCCTTGTTAAGGCTTTAAAGATAGAAAAAATCAGAACAGGAACCCATGATTCTTTATATCATGCTTTACTGAAAAAAAAACAAAACTTTTCAGATGTTGTCAAGATTGTGGATGAGTCTGGATATTGTTCTCTGCACCTGATGATTTGACCATCACAGGTCCTTGGAATGAGGGCGATGAGATATGTGTGCATAGGTAATGAAATTATACATATATATGTGTTATGCATATTTTTGTGTCTTAAAAATGAAACTTGCTCTCCCAGTTTTACACAGCTCCTAAAGAGTTCCCCACCCCAAGATCTGACTCAGAACTGGTATTTTTTTGTTTGGTTTAACCAAAGGTTTTTTGATTACTATGTGCCAAACACTGTGGTAGGCACTGTAGATATGAAGATGAATAAGGCATGGCTGTCAACATGAAGGAGGTTATAGTGTAAAAGAAGATATAATTTTGATATAGTGATAAGTATTCTATAGAGCTGGTACTCTCTCCTGTATCAATGTTAAGGGAACACCTTTAGCTTAGTACAAGTGTTTAAGAAAGCTTCAGAGACAAACCCCACTCAAAAGATGAATGAGTAAAGTAACTTATAAAAGAGGCATATTCTCCTTCTCTCTGAGGCCTCCACTGAAGTGACATACTTTATGTAATTCCAAGTTGTGATCATTAGTGTTTACATGTATTTAGGGATGGCAATGTATAGTAGAAAATGTAGTTTGATTATTTTCTAAAGATATGTTGAGTGAAGTCTTCCCCACCAACCTCACACTGCTATAGGAATAGTGGGTAAAATGTCCATGGTACCAGGTCACTTCTGTTTTCTGCAGGCCCCCTGGAAAGAAGTTTACCAGGGTATCTCTGAAGAGCTTCTTAGACGAGGTCCCTTTAAAAAAAACCCAAGTGTCACCATGGAGAGGCCCTTGGAAAATTTTAAACTGCCTCTGTAAACTTGGGAGGATAACTCTTTTTATTTTTTTTAAAGTACTTGCAGAGCAGGGCTACCCCACAGGCAGCATGCCCAGAGTAGCTGAAGATAACTCTTGACTGCTCTCTCTCTGGGCAAATCCTCACTGCTACCCTGACCTCTGGTCTGCTGATGCTTTGCCATTTTGTTAACACTGTTGGTCAATCACATGTTCATCTGTTCCTCTGTATCCTGACTGAGATGTACTCTCAACTTTCCCTGTCCTGCTTGCCTAGTCCTTGACTGGTTTGGACCTGCCAAGGCCTCAGATTTCAGTCTCTGACCTGCTGACCCGGGCAGTTCGTGTCCAACCTTCTGGGTGACAGACATAGCTAGTCTTTCCACTGACACCACCCTAACTTTGCAGCCTCTACCTTGCAGCTAGTCCTAGGCCAGAGCATTGGATTGCTTGGTGATGGTGACTCTTTCAGTTTTCTGTAACACACATGTATAGGTGGGGCACACCAGCATCTAATGAGGAGGGGAAAAGCCAAGGCGAGAAAGAAAAGAAGAAACACCTTCTAGGGAAGTTCTGGAAGGTGGTGAGGAGAATCTTGTATGTTTAAACACAGCCCTCAAATTCAGTCCTTCAGTAACTGTTTGAGTGTCTTTAATGTGTCAGACGTTGTGGTGGGTAATAGGGGCATAAGATGAATAAGGAAGTTATTTGGGATTGCAAAAAACTATTGATTCAGAATGAAGCATTTTTACAGAATGTTTTTATCCCTCTGTTATACTTGTCACATAATTTTATGCTAGGTAAGGAAGTTTTCATGAACTAATCTCTCTTGGTATTATCCTAAGTGAGCTTCTAAGGCTATCATATCTAAAATATTGTCTATAGGTTGATTGAGTTCTAGTTACTGACATGTGAATTTAGACAATGACTAGGTCTAAATAAAGTCTTATGTTTATCAACTGTATCAAAACAGAAGGAATGATTTTCTATACTTGGCAAATACTCTCATATTCTAGAAATGAGACTGTCAGGAAAACTCCACAGAAGTGATATACTTTATGTAATTCCAGATTGTAATCTTTAGTGTTTATATGTATTTAGGGATGGCAATATATAGTAGAAAATGTAGTTTGATTATTTTCTAAAGGTGTCTTGAATAAAGTCCTTCCTTCCCCATCACCTTCACCACTGTTAACAGGTAAAAATGATGAAGTTTACCAAACATTGGTTTCAGTTTGTTAAGAGACTGTTGATGTTTTGGGAGTCTTTACCCTCAGTGTGACCTGTCATTAGGAAACATTCATCACAGGTGGATATCAAAGTGAAAATCTTCCAAGGGCCAAGCAGGTGAATGTGTTCGGGTGATGATAGGTGATGAATACAAGAGTGAGGGCATTTACAATAGTATTATATCAGATATTATTTTAAAACCACAATGACGATAGTGCTGTGCTGGCCAAATGAGAAGATGGCAGAATTTACCAATAGCATTCAGCTTCTGGATATTATCCTGGATACCAGGCTACTTTCTTGGGGAAATTGATTGGGAGAACTGATATATTCACATACAAAAAAAAGCCAACAGAAATGGTGCTATTAACAATGATCACCAAAATGTAGTCAGTACTTACTGTGTGAAATTCTCCTCTTATCCTTTTCTTTAGAATTAGACAAGGCAATGACACATTCAACAGTTATTCTAAAAAAATAAAATAAGGATGTGTTATATGGGTCATTCATTTACGGATTGATGAGCATTGATTTGGACGTGTCTTGAGGGACAAAAGCAGGAACAAAGAATAGTCTGTTAATTTCTTGTATTACCTGAAGAAAAAGTTTGAGTTAACCACATAAAATCTTCATTCCGTATTTTTAGTCTCCAAGATAGTGTCTGGGCAGCAAGTCAAAGCAATGCTCTGCAAACATTGTGAGTAACTAGAACAACTCTGATTTCTTACTAAGTGTGTACAACATATGATATACTTCTGGGGAAATCTCACTAGAGCTTATTTAAAACATAATTGTTTGATGATATGGAATTCAACTCAGAATCAGATATGAATCCAATCAGAATCAGGTATGGTGAAGGATAAATAAAAGGAAAAACTCATCGTAGCAGCAAGAAGAACTTGGCAAAATCAACTCCTCTAAAGGACAAAATTGTTTCTTGATTATAGAGATTTTGTTACTATCAAGTATTATTTCTCTTATCTGTTATCTTTTCATAATTCTGTTTCAGGGTCTAATGGCTATTGATTGTCCACATACTGGCATTGTGGACTATCGGCAGGTGGCTTTATCATTTGCCCAAGATTTCCAGAAAGCAGGTGGCTCTGTCTTGACAAATTTTGAAGTAAAAGATATTGAAATGGCTAAAGAAGGGCCTTCAGGAAGTATAGATGGTAAGCCATCCTTGTCTTTTCTATTGAATATAGTCAGCCCTCCATATCCATGAGTTCTGCATCTCTGGTTTTAATCAACCACGGATGAAAAATATTTGGGGAAAAAAAATAACAGTAGAACAATATATAATACAAATAAAAAAGTATAACAAAAAATATACCATTTACATTGCATTAGGTATTATAAGTAATCTAGAGATTAAACTGTCCAGAGTATGTGCACAGGTTATATGCAAATGCTATGTGCCATTTTATATAAGGGACTTGAGTATCCTTGAATTTTGGTATTTGTGGGGTTCCTGGAACCTGTCCTCCTTGGATACTAAAGAACAGCTGTACTTATATTGATTTTTTTAAAAAATTGGGATATTTTGGGGGGTAGTGCTGGTGAGAGGACCACTAGGAGGTAGGCTGGAGTAGGGTGCAGAACCAGAGGTAGGTGTAGAAGGGACAAGGATGAGACTGAATGTGAGAGAACTGTGATTCCTGGAGGGTCTTGTGCTGGTAGAACCAGGCCCTGGTCCAACACTTCTGACTGGTGCTAAAATCTGAACTGCCAAGGCTGTTTATGGAAAATTAGTCTCCAGACACTTCGCTGCTGTGTAGGTTAGAGTCAGAATCTCTTGGCAATGTTTGTTAAAAATGCACTTTTTTTTTTTTTTTTTTTGAGGCAGGGTCTTACTCTGTCATCTAGGCTGGAGTGTAGTGCAGTCCCAGCTCACTGTAACCTTCACCTCCCAGGCTCAAGTGATCCTCCCACCTCAGCCTCCAGAGTAACTGAAACTACAGGTGCTTGCTATACATCCGGCTAATTTTTCTATTTTTCTTCCTTTTAATTTTAATTTTTATGCAGACGAGGTCTCACTATGTTGCCCAGGCTGATATAGAACTCCCAAGCTTAAGTGATTCCCCCTCGTCAGCCTCCCAAAGTGCTAGGATTACAGGTGTAAGCCACCATACCTGGCCCAGTTTTTGTATTTTTTATAGAGATGGTGTTCCACTGTGTTGCCCAGGCTGCTCTTGAATGCCTGGACTCAAGTGATCTGCCCACTCGACCTCCCAAAGTGCTAGGATTATGGGCATGAGCCACTGTGTCTGGCCAGTAGCTAACATTTTTTAAGTACTTGATACTTTCCAAGTATTAACTCATTTGACTCTTACAATTCTCTGTGGCAGGGTACCATTTTTACTCACATTTTTTAGGGTGAGAAAACCGAGGCACAGAGAGAGTAAGAAACTTGGCTGTGGTTGTACAAGTAGTAAGTGGTGGAGTTTGGATTTGAACTCAGACTGTCTATACCTAAAGCCAACATGGTTAATCACTGAACTATACTGGACCCACACCATGTTCCCCACAAGCTGAATAACGAGCAAGGATTTCAAATTAACAAGATGCCGGTGGAAAGCTTCATTGGTTTAATGAAGACAGAAGCGTTTGAGAAATTGGGTGGTTAGAATGAAGGAAAAAGACTGGCTCTGAAGCACAACAGGAAGGTGGAAGCTAAGAGGCTGGACTAGGAAAGTAGGACACCAAAGTAATTGCAGAGGGGAGGTCTAGGAAAGGGTTGCTTAATCCTGACACTATTGATACTGGGGGCAGATTATTCTTTGTTGTAGGGGGCTATCCAGTGCACTGCAGGATGTTTTGCAGTAACCCTGGCTTCTGTCCACTAGATGCCAGTATCATCATGCCCCCAAGTAATGACAATAATGTCTCTAAATGTTGGCAAATGTTCCCTGAGATTTTGGGGTGAAGGAATCACTCCTGGTTGAGAACCATTGCTCTAGACTTACAGTTATACTAGTTTTAACAACCAGGAGTAGAAATAAACCAGTAGACTAAAGGACAAAGAACCATGAATTGAAGAATTTTGAAAGTTCCTATAAAATCAGAATTTTGTAACTATGAATGATAATTTATTTGTTTTTTTGTGATGGAGTTTCATCTTGTCACCCAGGCTGGAATGCCATGGCATGATCTTGGCTCACTGCAACCTCGGCCTCCTGGGTTCAAGTAATTAACCTGCCTCAGCTTCCCAAAGTGTTGGGATTATAGGTGTGAGCCACTGTACCCAATCTGAATGATAATTTATTATGCTCTTGGAAAGGGAAAGGAGAGAAAAAAATTTCATATGACATCTCCTTTTTGGTTTATTCATCTATATAAACATGTAAATTAGTCTTCCACTGTGCTAGACATTATCACTCCTGGGGAACACATGCTATTCTGGAGGAGTGTTTTTTCCTTTCTGTCTCCATTAGAAGTCTGGACAGCAAATCAAATGGGAAAATTAAAATTTACAAAAGTACTTTGAGAGGCCAAGGAGGGAAGATCACTTGAGGACAGTATAAGACCAGCCTGGGCAACATAATGAGACCCTGTCTCTACAAAAAATTAAAAAAATTAGCTGGGTATGGTAAGCACACACCTGTAGTCCCAGCTACTTAGGAGGCTGAGGCAGGAGGATCGCTTGAGCAGAGGAGTTTGAGGCTGCAGTGAGCTATAATTGCACCACTGCCCTCCAGCCTGGGCAACAGAGTGAGATCCTGTCTCAAAAAAAATTTTTTTTAGGGCTGGGCACAGTGGTAAACAGTAATCCCAGCACTTTGGGAGGCTCACGCCTGTAATCCCAGCACTTTGGGAGGCTGAGGTAGGTGGATTGCTTGAGCTCGAGTTCAAGACCAGCCTGGGCAACATGATAAAACCCCATCTTTACTAAACTTTTTTTTTTTTTTTTTTCATTTAAAATGTAAATAAAGTAATTTTTTTTGACTTGCAAAATCCTATGGGACTCAAATGTCTAGCTTACTGGTATAACTATTTAGGTTCTATATCTCTAAATGGCAAACATAGTCAGTAGGAAAATTGGTAAGCCTGATGTCTATGTGAAGCCCAAACAGGACTGAACTGATCCTTTTTATTAATAGCTGTAAATATGTCTGTGTAAAGCAGTGACCTGGGAGGTTCGGTGGCTCATGTCTGTAATCCCATGCTTTGGGAGGCTGAGGCTGGCGGATCACCTGAGGTCAGGAGTTCCAGACCAGACTTGCCAACATGGTGAAGTCTTGTCTTTACTAAAAATACAAAAATTATCTGGGTGTGATAGTGTGTGCCTGTAATCCCAGCCACTCGGGAGGCTGAGGCAGCAGAATTGCTGGAATCCGGTAGGTGGAGACTGCAGTGAGCTGAGATTGCACCACTGTACTGCTCTCCAGCCTGGGCAACAGAATGAGATTCCATCTTAAAAAA